CATAGTGACATCCAGTGAGGCCAGTACTCCCGGTTTGAGTGTAGAATGTTAACTTGCTGACTAGTGTCTGTGGAAAACAAAACAAAAAAGGAATTAGCTAATTTATCATTATCATTATCTTGTTATGTGTCTGATAGAGAAAACAGTAAGTAAAATAAAAAGCATCCATGCCTGTCTTAGAATTGCCTACCTATTTATGGAAGAAAAAAGATTCATAAAACTGGTAAAACAACAAAATCATATTATAAATCATATTAACAGAAAAAGGGGAAGGAGATGTGCTTTGAACCTTCAACTCCTTCACAGCTCATCATTTTTTGATGCCCTCTGCCAAGCTGTATGCTCAAGGCAATCTAATGATATACAAAGCCTCATTGGCAGATACTTTATTACTTCCTCAGTGCATTAGAATCCTTAATGGCCTATGCCACTGGAATAAGTATGGAAATCCAGTCCCTGAAGGAAGTATAGTGGTCTATAAATCATATTTGCCTGAGGATTCTCTCAGCTCCTGACATTGTAGAATAGGTGAACAAAATGTATGCTTTCTGAATTTCCTGGTACTAAAGTATCAGAATAATGGTCAACTTTTGACTTAAGACTGTGTACTTAGTGGTTCTTAAAGTGTGAGACTTGGGCGCAGCAGCATTGGTAGTGCTGAGGACTTCTTAGATGTGCTGACTCAATGACCCTGCCACAGATGCACTGCAGCTCTGAGGGTAGACCAGCATTGATAGTTTAACCAGGCCTTTCGTGGCTCTGATGCTACTCTAATAGCTCTGCACGTAGGTCTGTAATCAACAGTCTCTTTTCACTATTGAGGAAACAGAAGCAAAGTCATGAAACTTGACAAAAGTCTATTGGAAAGATTCAGTTTAATTCAACAACATTGACTGAGCAGTTTCAGGTATCTTTACAGGGAAAATGTAAAAGGGAATGACACCTTTAGCCATTTGTGTTGGCCTTTTCTTTCCCCCTTGCCATGCTAGTCTCTGTCTCCCTGGAATTCAGCCCTTTCTTGGCCTTGTGCTACACATGCAATGTGATGGTTCCCAAGGCTACCATTCTGGGATCTCATGAAATTGTTGTCCAGAAATTGGCTTCTTACACTTTTCCATGGCTTACTGTCATCTCACACAGTAAACTTGAGGAAAAATCACTCTGCTTTTCTGAACTTTCCTGTATTTAAGTGTCCTGTAATCTTATCATCCGGAAACTCTCTTCTATCGCTGATTGAATGTGGTGCTTACCCTATAGAACATGATGCTACCGCTACCCTCATTTATTTTAAACTTCAGGTAGCTGCAGAGGTACTCTTTCCCAAGAAAACAGGCTGCCCACTTCTTACCTTGAGTGAATATCCTTATTTAGGGGAGGATCTAGAATCATAGTCAACATGAGAGCATTGAGTAAACAAAAGAAAACAAAACCTTTTCTTTTCCATCAAGCATTTCTCTTCCTTGCTGTTACTCTGATCTTTCTTAAGTGTATTTCAGTCATTTTACTGTCTAGATTCAGATATTGTGACCTATAGCATAGGTAAGCAAACTAAGGCATGTGCTCACAATAAATAAGGTTTTATTGGAATAGTCTTTCTGACATATGTACAACCTGTAGCTGTTTTTGTACTGCTGTGGCAGAGTTGAGTTCATTGAACCTAGAACTGTATGACCTGCAAGTGTAGAGTATTTCTAATCCTATACTTTAAGAAAAAGTCAGTGGCCAGTAGCATAAGGTTTAATCTATTTATACTTAATATAAAATATATATATTTGTGATTTTTTCCTACCCTGTTAATATGGCTTTCTTAATTAATAAGCCTTTTTATCAGACAAGTTGAGACCATTAGAACATTTTCAACTTCACTTTTTCTCTCCTTATAGGCTACAGTTGCCATCTAAATTTTCTTTCTATTTTAAATCCAGAAGATGTTACTATTATGATTGCTATTATTATTTTAAATCTTTTAAGTTTACTACATATTATTTTGGTTGATTTTTCTCTTCTTGTACTTTGAAACAGAAAAGAGAACGTTTTTTAGGATTTCCTCACTCTTGAATGATAATTAGTCTGGATACAGACCAAATTTACTTACCCTTCAGAAATGGAAGACATCGTTTCATTGTCTTTTCTGCACTGTGGCAGATTAGACATCTGCTAACAATATGATGTTTCTTCTTATTGCAGGTTTTAGGATTATCTCTTGATTTGAGTCCTAACAAGTGTCTAGGATGTGCTGAAAGAATTATTACTATTTTTATTAACTTGTGGCCTTTCCATACATCTGAAAACCAACTCTTTTTTTTTTCCTTCTATTCCTCTACATGCAAATAGAGAACAGATCTCATTTGTGTTTTGTCGTCCTCCTTTTTGATTTTTTTCTACTATGTACTATTCAGTCACTAGGCATCTATGTTCAGTCTAACATCTATGTACAATTGATAGGCATCATCTCTCAATTGTGAATTTAATCTTAAGTGGCATTCATTGCATTCAGTAGTCTCGGCTTTACTGGACAATAGTGTTTATAGATATGTAGAGGTGACTATTTGGATATTTCAGCCAGTGTGAAGGAAAACTCTTAACAGAAAGCAAATGAAAATGGAGTTTGGAAATGGTGTGATGAGTACACTATGTAACGACTTCCCTGATAGGTTTATAGAATTCCTTGTCCTTAGAAGAACCTATTTGGCATTTAAGTAAAACTTCACAACTCTGAGTAAACTTCTTACAGTTGGGTTGAGTGTATTACACTTGTATTACACTTTATTATGATTGTATTACAGTTATATTACACTTTATAGTTGGGTTGACTATCTAATGACACTGGTTTTGTCCTAAAAAAATGACGACTTCTGGCCTTACTGGGAGAAGACCTGTCTCAGACGAGCAAGGATTGAATCCTCATTGGGCATTTCTCTTTCTCACCTCTACCTGCCTTTTTGTTGAGAGGCCTCAGTTTAGTAAAGGAGTTAGTGATGACAAAGGTTGGAAGATTCCAATTTTTGCTTAGCTGAGTAACAGCACTCTTTCCTTCTGTTAAAAGATCATATTCAATTAGCAAATAGGAAACAATTTCACCTGTCATACATCTGTCAGTACCTGAATTTATGCAGTTGCCTTGTATGTTCTATATTAATTAGGCTCTTAAAAGATTGTCTAATTATGCCTTGGGCTCCCTGATACAAGTGTTTTCTATTATAGCTGCCAACACATTTCAAATGATTGCAATTGACTAAAACCACCAGAAAGAAGAATTATTGAAAATGTATTGAAACTGATACTAAGGATTTCTAGAGATACTAAGATAAGATACCGAGTAATGCTGTCATGGAGATGATAATGTTTTCATTTTGTGATTTTTGCCTCCTTATCTTTTTCTCTGTCTTCCCCCTCCTGTCATCACCCCCTCTGTGTGTGTGTGTGCACACTTAAAAATGCTTAATTATACATTGAATCTGAATGTACTGGGAAATCAGATAAAGGCCCAGAGCATAGCATCCTGCAGGGACTAATGAGAGAGAAGACAGCTCTAGTGGCCCATGCTGTCCCCACCCCCCTCTCTTGCTCACATTCTGCTCCAGCTCTTGTTCTCACTCCTCCTCCCACTTCCCCTCCTCCCTTTCTTCTTCCCTCTCCTCCCCCCTCCCCCCAATGACTTAGAGATAAGGAGAAAGCCACCGAAGGATATTAAGCAGGGCCTGACATAGGATTAATGGAAAGAGAAGGACTTGGCAGTCCTGAAGAAAATGAATGGTAATAGAATGAAATAAACTATGTTAGTTAGGCCATTCTGTTCTGTGTAAGGCACCATGGTAGAGGCAGAGGCAGTGGCAGTTGCTATAGATGGGTAGGAGAAATTCAGAACAAGATAGGAACAAAATAGGCAAGACTGAGTCGCTGATCAGATGTGAGGGTGAAGAGGAGTTAGAAGTGCATATCTCTTATAATTTCTGATAAACTATTAGAGTTTCCCTAAGGAAACTTACAAGTTCCTTTTCTACGCTGTATGAATTCCTTTTGGGGGTTAGGCGGTCTCAGGAAGGAAAATACCTATAAAAGAATTGTAGTTGCAGCAACATCTGATCTCACTGTAGACTTTTTTTTGTTTTTTATCTGCAGGAGTGAAAAGTTGAGCTTTTGATTTTTCTGTTTCTTCTGCTTTCCAAACCTGATCCTGTACAGCCAGTTTTTCCCTAACTCTCAAGCATTGGTACACAAATCTTACATGTAGTGAAACTGTTTGATTTTTTTTTCCCTATCTCAAATAATGAATGTCCTGATAATATTTAGAGCTAATTGTATGCAGTTTAATTTTCAGATTTTCATTATTGCTGTTTTTATTTTCATTTTCTCTTCCCCAGACATTGTCAGCTATAAATGTTTAACAAAATTATGCCCTTTGGGGTGATTTTCAATTTTCTTAGTTTGGGAGGCGTATTTTTGTGTCAGTCATGAAGGGTTCAGATTTGGATTATTAAACACTTGAGCCCCCAGTTTCCACAATGGACCATTTAACATTTTCCATTTCCTTGTAAATGGAAAGCGTGCCCATCTGTATGCTGTTTGGGTGTTTTCGAAGACCTTGTGTACTTTAGTATCTGCCTGTCCTCCAACCCTTGCTGTACTGTGAGGCTGCTATCTGGAGGCAAAACAAAAAGAACCTCAGCATCTGTGGGTGATTTACAGGCACAGCTGGGGCCTTTACCCGAGCTCTTAGGCAGGTGGGAGAAGCATGCAAAAGATTTGGGCTTTCCTAACCCTCAAGAACTATTTGGCATTTCTGGTGGAGTGTTACTGTAGAGGTTTATTTCCTTTAGAGTGAGCAGACTGCATTGCCACAGATGCTCTTGCCACTAAGGCCCTTGGAGGGTCAGGACTTGTTGATGTAATCAGTTTTGTTTTCCTTCCCTCCTCTAATAGCTATTATTCTCTGAAGTGTGGAAATTGGCTGAGTTACAGAGTGTGAATTGATGTTCTCCTCTGTTTTAACCCTCTAGAAATGCATCTTCTGCAGACATCGGGTAAAGAGGGTCTCTGGAGCATGCATCCAGTGTTCCTATGGCCGATGCCCAGCTTCCTTCCATGTCACATGTGCCCATGCTGCTGGGGTACTGATGGAGCCTGACGATTGGCCTTACGTGGTGAACATAACGTGCTTCCGCCATAAGGTTAACCCAAATGTGGTAAGGCCTACTCTCTTTTCTCTGACGCCGAGACTGCATCTGGATTTCCTCCTGTACACTTAGGGTGCTTTAATTGGCTCTATTACTTATTATCAGTATGTCCAGACTGTGAGTTTCTTGAGGACAAAGATTATGCAATATGATTTATAGATATTTGTCCAGGATCCACCAGTGTCTTGTGTGCACTTAGACAATAAATACTACTGAGTTGTTTGAGTGAATGAGCAGATGAAAGAATGAAACTGTCCATTCTGGTTTTGGAACTGTGTACAGGGCCTCTGAATATGGTTGTACAGATTGTGCACTGCACATATCCAGTGTTGGAGATCATTTCTTCAAGTGAACAGTAAACAGTACCACCTGGGATTCTGCAATGTACAACCTGCAACTCTACACTGTTCCTTCAGGTTTTATTAATCCCTCCTAGAAGAAATGTAAAGCAACAGTATTGACAAGTGAAGTGACTGGGGGTTTGGCCAGGAACTTTTGAATACTTGATACCTTAGAATGGATAAAGGGGAGCATGAAGGCCTGGGAAAGAGTAAGGATAATCTCATAGAAGACTAGGAGAGAAGAATAGAAAACATTCATGGGCTGGGATGTAGCTCAGTGGCAAAGCGCTTGCCTAGCAAGCGCAACGTCCTGGGTTCGATCCCCAGTACCAAAAAAGAAAAGACAAAAAAAAAAGCTGTTAGCACTGCAGAGAAAACATTCATTAGTTTTCTCCATTTCACACTTTCTCTGGAAAAATAGTATTTGCAGCCAAATAACATGTGACTTTAACTGTAGTTCAGTTTACTTATTTTTGGTGAATGAGGTTTTCCCTCTATTTGAAAAGCCTAAAAACAATTATGAGGATAGAGAGATAGTGATAGTTGATTTGCCATGGTTAGTTTTCTAATTTACTGTCATTGTTTTTGGCTAACAAAGCGAAGACTAAAGCATTGTAGAGTTGCCCTGCTTTGCTAGCTTGCTCTTTTTGTTATCCTTGGGAGACTTGGCCACAGGCTATTTCAGCTTAACATGCTCTCCCTGACTGTAATAACCTCTGATGAGCAGTCTGCCAAGCCACCGGTATTGACTTGTGGAGCCATGACCCTACACACATCAAATCTCCCAGCTCTTTGTAATGATTACAGCAATTTCCACTGGCATCTTGAGAGATATTTGACATTGGTGGGTTGGGACTCTGTGCAGATGTGTGTGAATGCCCAAATGTACAGTGATGTCATCAACTTTCATGCATATTTTAACGTTGTTTTCCATTGTTTCAGGTCATTCATTCATGCTTTTTCCTTAGTATCTTTAGTTGATGTGCTCTTGCTAAGAATAGTATTATGTTCAGGAAAAAATATACGTTTAAAGACTTATACTTTGCCATTTACAGTGCTGTCAGTAATGTTAACTTCCTTAAATGACCCACATGATTGCCTTGAGCATGAGCAAGGTCATGATCTTTAGGGCCAGAATGGTTGGTGATCACACTTAGTTTCTGCCAATAAAATCTGTGTCACTTTATGTACAGTTCTTATTTCTGAGCCTCAGATTCCCCATCTGTGAAAGATGGTATCAAACCTAACTACATTGTGTTCCATTTCTAACATTCAAAGTTTGAAGCTCGTACTACTGTCATTTCTCCTGCTATTACTACTAGTGGTACAATACTTTTACCTGTTCAGAGAGTAGCCTTTTTCTGTTTTGAGAAACCCAAGTTCAGAAATATTCAGTTTATGTTCAGATCAATGCAGTCATGACTGTGTCTTTAGTCTGTACCCTAATATTTGTTGAATGCCTAACTACAAAGTCACATAGTGCTAAGGTATCCATCTATAGTTTTGCATGGGATCATGCACTCCCATTTTAATATTCCAATGCACTGATTATGGATGATTATGTTGAAGTTGCTATTAAAGAGATCCAGGTGTTTAATCAGGATCTCATTCCTCTTAACTCTGGTGTGTGGTTCAGTCAGGCTTGAGTTACTAATGAATTTCATAAATGATAGTGAAAAGAAAATATTTGACTTTAAGGAGATTTAGAAACTACTTTTCCCTATATCATAGAGCTACTTTAAGCCTGGTATATTTTATAAATGGAAGGAAAACATAATTTACAGCATGACTAGTCACAACTTTTCCTTATGAAGAAAAACAATTTAGTGTTGCTACATTGCCTTTGAGTTCTGTAGGTGAAAACACTATATTATGGTCACCAGATTTCTGAAATAAAGTCTTGGTTGGTATTACTTTCCCATTCTTCTTCAATTAGACTCCACGAATGTATTCCTTCCCAAAAATGTTTGGGAACTAACCAGAGGGATTTATAGAACCTGGCAACTTTGCTTAAAAACGTTGTGGTTGCCCTGTTTTATTAAGTGTCTTTCCCTTTTCAAACATAAAATGTTCAAATTTCCTCAAATATTTCTCTTCTTATAAATGATGAACGCTAGGGCACATGCTTCCTAGAGTAGGAACTATAGTTTATCTATACTCTGAACTATGCCTTATTTGATTATTTAAGGGTAATAGGCAATTGCTGAATGATAGCAGTGAAAACTATTAAATAAATGTCCAAGCTAACTTGGCAGCCTGAACCAGTTGTTTTATAGCATAGAGGAGGATCCTGTACAATGTAGAGGAAATGAAAATATAAACTGTTGATTTAATAGAATCTCCCTTTTTATTCACAGAATGGTTCTGATTTTTGCCTTCTCTTTTCCCCATTTTTGCCTTATCCATCAAGAAGGGCCATCCAAATTCTACTATTCCTTTAGTATCCTAAGTTTAAACATACAAGCGTATTCAGCATTATTGAATTTATGGGATAGTTATTCTGGATATAGCATAAATTGTATTTCAGCTACACCTAGATAGACGTAAATGATAATTAAAATGCTGTAACCAACTTATCTAATAAAATTGGCAACCAGCCACTATTTTGTCGACTATGAAAAAAAATTGTCTAGTTTATTACAGTACACTATTTCATTAGGTAGTAAGTATACTTTGAAATTTAAAAGACAAGTATTTGAAAAAAGGTAGCTTTAAAATTCTCAAATATATATATGTATATATATATAAAGAATATTTAACAGAAAGCTCATGTTTAATCCTTGTTGTTTTAACCTAAATTTTAGTATTATATCTATCCATATTCTTACCAAACACTTTTTCAATGGCACCTGCTGTCTTTCAAATGTAAGCTCTCATTTGGGACTTAGATGCTGCAGGAAGCTGATGCACCAGTGCAGGTGAGCGGAGATGGGGAACAGCGGCCATATCTTGGTTTTGGAGACACTTCGAAGATAGACTTAAAGGCCTTGGTAAGTCAGATGTAGTGGAGAAGGAAGGGAGAATTTCTAGTTAATTGAAAATCACAAGAATGAGTTTTGCCTATATTGTTAGGCCTTAGTGTTGGGACTATAAAACACACCTATGGGTTGAATTCATTTTCAGTTTCCTTTTTATTTTCCCTCAGTGTAAAACCTAATTAAATTGTTCAGTTTTACTCTCTTTAGTTTTTCTCTTACATTTTTTTTTTCCAACAAAGGGAACCCAAATTTAGTTAGTCATTTAAAGTGGTCTGGGTAGTGTCATTTCCATAGACTCATGTAGGTGTCTCAGATCCTTCATGGCTTTGTATTAAACTGGTGACAGAATTGTTTGAATGGTTATTTTGCCTTTAAGAATTTTGATATTGGGGCTGGGAAGGTGGCGAGCACTTGCCTTGCATGCCTGAGGCCCTGGGTTCGATTCCTCAGCACCGCATAAGCAAAAAGAAAAAACCTGGAAGTGGCACTGTGGCTCAAGTGGTAGAGTGCTAGCCTTGAGCTGAGGAGCTGAGGGACAGCGCCCAGGCCTAGAGTTCAGGCCCCACGACCGGAACCAAAAAAAAAAAAAGAATTTTGATATTATGTTCAATAAATTTTATTGTAACGAACTGTACTCTTTCTTCCCAGACTTCTGTACAATTATTTGGTGTTTGTGTATTGCTTATGTCTTCTACATTTACTTCCAGTGGCCTGCTGAATTTGCACTGACATGGAAAAACAAGGAGAAAATTCTGACTGAAACAGAAGTACAGAGTAAAGAATTCTTGACAGAGATTAAAAAAAAATTATAGTGATTCAGACCTGAATCTGATCAATATTCCTAAATCTAACATACACTTTAAAAAAAAGTCCTGTATATTTCTATCAGTAGAAATGTTTTGTTGCGATCTTAGTCCTTTTATCCCAGATTATAGAGACTTAAGGTCAGATTTACCTTAGAGGGAAATGCTTAGCCACAGACCTTTTATTATATTTACATTTGGAACCACATTTCCCTTGTTTTCCTTATTAGGGAAACCCAGTGTAGACAGAGTTTTCTTAATAATATTAAATATATCTTATTTCAACTCTTAAAACTCAATTGCTTTCTTCTAGCTATTTCTTCCACCACTTCCTTTGGAAGGATCAAATCAGCAAGCACAAAGCCTTTCTTCACCATACCCTGTCAATAGAATGAATGGAACATCAGAAAGTCCCCCCCCAAATCCCATGCTCTTGGCTTAGAACCCTGAGGGTATGCCATGTTTTTCCTCACCATCTTAGGAAGAGCCTTAATCTATCCTGCCTTTTGCAAGTCCAGCTAATTAGTCATCAGACCTGGCTGTGAGCTGTGGAGGAAAATGTCCCTGACACCAATCCATTCTCATACCAACCTCATAGCCCCAATCCAGGGACTCTTGTGTCTCTTGAGTTTGCCTTCTGTCCTTCCTCCTTTTCCAAGCCTTTCAAAATGTGGCCATTTGGTGAGGGTCCTTGTGCCAAACCAGTCTGGCATGAGCTGCATTGGTTCTAGTCCCACTTCTGATAGTAAGTATTTAACAAGGTATTTGAATTTGTAGGTAGAGACAGCAGATGTTTCCCACTGATGTCTTCAATTTTAATAAACGATGGATACAGAATTTAATCAGAATGGAGAAACTATGTAGGAAAGAGAAGAACTTGAGTCTATGCTGTGGTATTTCTCCTACCTACTTTAATCTTGCAGAGCTATCCAGTAGACATGGCCTATACTGTTTGGCTGGCTCAAAATCAGAATAGAAGCTATATTTTGCTGTGTACAGTTGCTTTTTCGTGTGGATTTGCTGAGGGGGAGGGAACCAAACTCTGGGTTTCATCCATGTTAGGCAAGTTTTATCCTCCTAACCCTATAATTACTCTTCTGGAGGAGAACGGATTGGTCATGCGGCTGGAACTCAGGGCTTGGACATGATTTTCTGAGCATTTTCACTCAAATCTAGTGCTCTTACTACTTTGAGCCACAGCTTCACTTCTGGTTTCCTGTTGGTTAATTATAGATAAGAGTCTCGTGTACTTTCTTGCCTGGGCGGGCTTTGCACTGCAACCCTCAGATCTCAGCCTCCTGAGTAGCTGAGATTACAGGTGTGAACCACCAGTACCCAACCTACAGTTTTGCTTTATATGGAGCTTAAGGCTCCATTCTAGAATTTACGCTTAACAATCTCGACCCATCCATGTAAGGACAGTTTTTCAAGTAATAATATCTTGAACCAGACTCTGAACCAGCAAAACTACCTTCTTACCTGATGGCAGAGCCATACTGATTTGCTTTATTTTAGAAATAGCTGACATTATGCTAAGGATTCATATTCATATGTCTTGTCACCTTTGAGGACAAAAGCTAATTTCTCTAAGAGTGTGTGTGTGTGTGTGTGTGTGTGTGTGTGTGTGTGTGAGAGAGAGAGAGAGAGAGAGAGAATTAGTACAAATTGATAAAGTTTTAAAGTGAACAAGAGAGTTAATATCTAATATTTGATCATAACAATCATAGAAGCATATCAGCACTTTTCATTAATTCTTCTTACGTTAGAACACTTGTTACGAGTGGCACTGAGGGTATTTCAGTAAGAAGCTAAAACTGTTTTAATTGCTACTGTAACAAAATAGAGCTTTTTATAAAACTTAGATTTTCAGCTCTTTCAAAATAGGATTTGGGTTCTATGTGGAAAAATGTGGCTTCATCAGAAAGAATATTTTCCTAACCCTTTTATTCTGGGTTTGTAAAACTGCATATTATTGGGCTGGGAAGTTGGCTCAGTGGTAGAGTGCTTGCCTTGCATGCATGAGGCCCTGGGTTCGATTCCTCAGTACCACATAAGCAGAAAAAGCTGGAAGTGGCTCTGTGGCTCAAGTGGTAGAGCGCTAGCCTTGAGCTGAAGAGCTGAGACACAGTGCCCAGGCCCAGAGTTCAGCCCCATGACCAAAAAAAAAAAAAAAACACCCAAAACAAAAAACAAAAAAAAGACAACTGCATATTATCCCAGGCTTAAAAAAAATCAATGCCTAGCAATCATTAGGCCCTGAGTTCAAACCTCAGTATTGAAAAAATAATTTTTTTAATTTGCATTTTGTAGGTATTGAGTTTATCCCAAAAGTAAACTCATCAGAATCCCTGTCTTCACCAACTCAAAGTGTGCCATGGAGACAGGGGGTCAGTCAGTAGGCTTAGGAGTCCATTGTGCAGGGTGGACTGTTTTAGGAAATAGGGATCTGGGATACCAAGGACCACTTAACTGGTTACATTCTTTTTTTTGAAGCATAGGTAAGGTGTATTTTCACATAGTACTTAGTCAGTTTTTCACAGAATTAATAGTTCTTCCTTGAAAATTTAAAGCTTCTCAGCAGTTTATACTCTTTAAAAATAATTAAGGCATATTCTATCATCTGGTAGCTAGTTAAGATAATTAAGTAGTGTCACTGATCCCATTTTTTAATATTGGTATTAGAGTCAAGCACCATAGATGCAGTGGAAATATCTAAGTGGAATGTGTGAGCAGACACATGACAGCAAAGGGCATTTGACATTCCCATGTCTTGTGAAGTGTAAGACAGGGTTTTCAGTTCCTCCATGAAGAAAACAGTAATTAGATGCCATAGTCAAAATGGAATCCACAGATTCTGACAAAATGTAATGAAAGCATAATTTTAAAGACTACCAACATCAAGCAATAGAAAAAGCAATTAAACTTCCCACAGTTCTGTCTGAACGGCTAATCTCTAAGTCTACATTTTATGTCCACTTTCAGTGAATGTGACAGGTGAAATTTCGATTCTTTCAAAGGCTGTATGAAATTTCTTGGCAGGGAGCCAGGGAAATCTGGGGACACCCCAACTTTATTGTCCGCCCTTCTGTGAAATATTGGAAGGATCTTGGGTTCTGACATACATCTCATAGACATCATTATTCTTTTCTCCAGGTAGTTTCTGGATATTCCTCATCTGAGTTGACTTGTTTTCACACACATCCTTTCTTGTCTTCTCAGCTCATGCTGGATATAGAACATTAGTGAAATTGTAGAGCAATATCTGAGGAAATATAGGAAATCCTTGTTTGTAGCACTCTTCAATGGAAGATCATTCTAGCTTTTCTCCAATAGTGGTTGACTTGGCACTGAGAAGCTTTGCTTGGAGCAGAAACAGAGAGAAACAACCCCCCCTTTTTTTTCTGAGCAGCAGATTCTTTATGAGTTACTTTAAGTTTTGTTTGTACTTCCTTGGATATGGGTAGATCCTTAGTTATGTTTATTTCTCTTTCTCCAGTACATTATATAAAGTTTATATAATGTATTATATATTAAACATAATATATAAAGTTTATACGTCCTTATACTCGATAACTTTTAGTTATATCTTAAAATCTACTGTCATGTGTACCTGTATTATGGAGTTGGAGAACAGAATAGTGCTCTTAAAAAAACCCAAACAACAACAACAACAACCAAACAGATCCAGAATGGTGCTCTTACTAGATACTGAGAAAATATCGTTATCTGAGTTGACATGGGCTGCTGAGATTAACCTGGTGTGAGGGAGGACCACAGGCATGAGCCTGAGGAGGAAAGGGTTACTGTTGTAGCACCTCTCAGCCTGACTGCCCACTTTTATGCCCACTTGCAACATATATGATGGGTGAAATCCTGTTTCCGTCCTCACTGGATCTCCCATGAACACAGTATACCCATCTGTAGCACAGTCCTAGCTATGTAGATTTACTCAGTTAACATGAAACAGACTGACAGAGGGATATTACTTGACTTGATTATTAATGATATGTGACTCTGGATTTTTTCCTTTAATTGGCATGAGTAATATAAGCAAAACCTGCACTACCTCCTATAATTATGGTGCAATGGGCAGGAGAAAGCTTTTGGGCAGTTTTCTTTTATGTTTCTTAGTTATTTCTCCTGAAGTCTAAAATAAAACCTAAGAAGTCTGTGTTCTCCTACTCCGTCTTACATAGCTATGCATCATTA